ATTGTTGTTTGGCGGGTCCGGGCTGGGGATTTGAACCTGCCACCTTAGGTGTACGTGGCTGGCGCCTTAGCCGGTTGAGCTATAGGCGCAGAGCCTTAAGGTAGATATTTCAACATAAGGGCTTGATTAGAGTTGGGTAAGATTATCATATAATAGTTTACAACTTGTGGACACAGTAAGGAGAGAGTTTTGAGATGAGAGTTTCAAAAAGAGAGTTGAGAATAAATGGTGAACTTTTACCTCCTTGAGTCAGGGCTTCCTGGAATATAGTACAGTTGTGTTGATGAGGACATTGTAATAGTAAAGTCATGTGAGGAAAGATGGGCATTTGTAAAGTAGCTTTCCAATAGACACCAAGCTGTGTGGGTGTAGGTGGTTTCCAGTTTGCTAAGTCTAATGGTAAGACCAGTTTGGGACTCATTAGGAGAATAATTTGAGTAAGGACAGATAAGGATCATGAAGAAGCAGGACTGACACGCCGGGATTAGCTAAATTGACATTCGTGCCCAGTGTGTATCTGGGAGATTGATTGACAATTCAAACCATACCTATGTGCTATATACATAAAATGTTTGTATGCACATACCTGTAGCTTCATTTACTTTGTCTATACTCTTCTTTCTTAGTTTCTTTTGTTATATGCTGAAGTTTCAAATTAAAGAACTTCTTCTACACGTTGCTTAAACATCAGAGCAAATGCAGTCAGGATGTGACTATTTATGCTCCTTGCCAAAGGCAGAAAGATTATGTAGGAGCATGCAAACGTGTCTGAATATGACACTGTCAGGGGATCATCTTGTAAATCTGCCCTGTCTTTCTTATTGTAAGTCTTTATGGAACTTCTTTTTACTTTATTCCGTTTATTCTTCCTTCTGATCATCTGATTAATGGGGAGTCCCATAACTCCCTAAGGATAACAGAAGTTTCCTTTCTTTTCCTTGTGTTCCTAGTCCTCATGGCTTTTTGCTTCTTTATTTAGTTAATTTTAATTCTGGCCTTCTTTTCCATCCCTGGAATTCCTTAGAGCACCTAGTTTTCAGCAGGAAATGCTGCCTCAGCTGATGATTATTTCTGTGATTTCACTGAGTGGGGTTCCTAAGAAACAGACTTCGAATAAATACTTTTAGTTCATGAAGCTTATAAAAAAGAAAAGTAGAAAGTTACTTTGGAGAGGCTGCTTAAAAAACAAAATTTCACCTTGCACAATATTTAAATTAGGAACACGCCCTTTGTGTGATCTCTGCCTTCCAGGGCCTCACCCGGAGCAAGCAAGATTATTTTCCCCATCCCAGTTAACTTCATTGTGTTTCCAAAGGAAGTCGCTTGTTTTAAATAATGATCCTCCCTGACATTGGTTGGGAGTTTACTGACAACATAGTAACTTTCTGAAGAGAAACTATTCCAGTTAGTAGATACAACTTACTGAATGCCTACAGATCAGTGGTGCACTCCACATACGCTATCAGCAATTCATATAACTGTTTTCTCTCTCTCTTTGAAGATGCTGAAAGGGGGGCTCAGAAAAGTTACTTACTCAAGATCTTGTAGCTAACCAATCCAAAGCCACGCTATGAAGCCATTTTCACTTCATACCAAAGC